AAGCCTCACAGTACAGTCTGAAAAGGTTAAGAAACTGAAATTTATACCTTAAAACTGCTGATTCTATAATGGGCATTACTTTTGTACCTTAGTGCCCCTGTTTTCTGCCAGCGCAAAGTAAACAGAGCTCAAGACTGTTTATCTGTGTTTCGTCGTGAGTGATTGGGGGGGGGCAGCCGTCTGTTCCAGGACCTCCCTGTGGAGGGGGCGGCAGATGCGGCCCTGAGCGACAGAGATGGCGCGGCGGTATCACTTTCAGGGAGGGGTGTGCATCACATTCTGTGCGTACTCCCCAGGGGGGGTGGGAGCATGGGGGATGTATATCGAAGCCTCCTCCCCACTGCTACCCCACCCATGAGCCGTGTGAAACCCCCTGGTTGGATATGCCCGTCTGTCAGGGTGTCGACGGGTAGCTCGTGACCCTGGGAGGCATTCTACGCCATCAGGAGGTCAAAGGTCATGAGCAGAGGACCCCTGCAGCCATCCAATCAGCAGCCACTTGTCATCCGGAGCCAAAGATTTCGATCTTCTGGTGATATCTTGAGTATAATGAAGCATAGATGTACCTGATACCAGACAGAAAATGTGTGATACATAAAAAATGCAAAAACCGGACAGTGAATCTTCAACCTTAACCTGCACCTCATTTGAATGGATCTGGGATTTGCTTCGCTTTACCGGCTAAATCCTCGTGTTAATTTTGACTGTTATAGCACAGGCCGCAGATCGAAGCACAATAACTTTATTTAGCGGAACAAGATGGTATTTAGCATCAACGGCTTTGCCTTGCTTGAAAAAAAGCCGGTATGAATATTTAAAAACGGGGGCTTTTAATCTTAATATCATCCTCTGTGAATTAATTGGGAATGATACATGCTCACATAGTCCAAATAATTTATCTTGGAGGGTTCCAAGCTGATCCTACCTGGTGATCCCCCTGCTTGAAGGGACAAATCTGGAGAAGGCCTGGACACCCCTGCTGCTAATCCGCGCTAATGCCAATTCCTGACACGCCGCCAAGCACCCCGGTTTGGCAAGGGATCTGAGGAAGTGCCCGGGTGTGGGAGGACACGCGCCCAGGAGAGGCCCGCCGGAGGAGGGGGGAGGGGCGGGACAGGGGGGGGGGGTTCCAGCAGAGACCACGGGTCCATCCTCCCGCACGCCCGTAAATCCGTCCCCCGGCCCGACCGCGATGGATCCGGGCCCCCGGGGTTGGAGGGGGTTTTGGGGAGGGGGGGGGTCCTGACCTTTCCCACACTCGAGCCCCCCGGCCCGGACTGGGGGACATTCATGGAAAAGGCAAGACATCTGTCCACGCGGATTAGCGTGGGCGGCAGCGCGCTTCTGACGGCCGCATGCGCTTTGTCCGGGAAGCCGGCCGGGACTGGAGCCGAGGACGGCTCCATCATTGTCGCTGCGATCCGGGGGCCAGCTTGCCGGCATCATAGGAGTCAAGTAGCCTCCTCCAACACTGATAAACAGCAACTTGAGGTTACCCACTGACGACAAATAAGAAGTCCGGAATGGAAGGCTGCTAGACGGATGGATAAGCCAGCATTTCCTTAGCGGGGGGCTTAGGGGATGAGGATCCTTTTTATATTAATAACTTTTAAAGCACATTTTTATTATGGTTTCCCAATTACATTTCCCAACCGATCATTAGGTTACCAGCGATAGGGCAACGTCGTCGGAGGGCGTCGGCCAATAATGGAGCGATTATTCCTGGGCGGTCGGGATAATATGTGCCTGATAATGCAACCAGTGGCCCCCTGAGGCATGTCCTGCCCCCGCCCCCCGCCGGAGTATGTGCCGCAGGCCACATGAGTCCTTGCCGCAGTCGCATACTCTCCAGGGTCCCCCCCCCCCCCCCCCCCCCCCCCCCCCC